TGAAATTAGTCATCTTATATTTTGGTTAAAATAAATTAACTAAATTTAATAAATAACATAATTATCATTGATCTAAATAATTAAAAATAATTTATTTTTTATGAAAATAAGAGATTTCAAATTTAAATTATTTAAAAATTTTAAAAAACTTACTATTTATTATGAAACTCAAGATAATAAATAAATAAATAATGTAATTATACATCATTATTTCCTCTTTCCCCTTCAATAATTGTTCCCATCTTTTTAACTTGACAATATTAGACTTATATTTATGATGATATGATATTTTTATTTTTATTACTGATAAAATTGGTTGGTACTGTTGGAAGTATATTTATAATTATTTATTTTGTTTGTTTACAAAACTTAATCCTGTGATACCGTAATATTAATGATATTTTTATTATTCCATAAGTCAACTAATCGTCGGTTTCAAACCAAGTGCTCCTCCCGGTGATTAGGAGTCAGATTTCAACGGCGGTTTTTGGACGTTGTTGACATAAATTCCATTGCTGATCATTCCCGATATTCAAATTCCAGAAGAGGCGGCTATAAACGGATAGACTGGAAGTGCGAGAGACCTTAGGTATTGGAAAACTAGAGTCTAGAAATTTTGGTAGAAATAAGAGTTGAGAATATATATATATATATATATATTTTATTTTGATTATACAATAATAAATATTTATTTTTTATTTTTTATTTTATCTTAGTACATGTCTTATGACTCAAATTTAAAATTTTATATTTTTAATCAAAAAAAATAATTATTAAATTATTTAAATCATTAACAAAAAAATTAAAAATATTGATTGTGATTTCCACTCATTTGCAACTCAAATTGTACATTTGGCTACCAAAATATTCCAACTTCAAAGTGCCAAAGGGTAACGAAAACTTTATTTTTAACATGTAAAGATTAAAAATTAAATTTTAAACTTACAATATTTTATTATTAGATTCCACGTAACTGATAGCAAAACTAATGAAACCTATTATTATTATTATTATTTGTGGGGGCAATCTCTTTCCAAAATTCATGAAGCTTAATGCTTCGGCACCTTTAGTTGGAATTGTTTCTCATGCTAGTTTCCAGAAATTAAAGGACAATGGACTGGGTAGAGGTCGACGGAATATATCTCGTGGGATATGCCCATCCGTCGTCCATTCCTAGGATGGTCCGGTTGTTTCCATTGAATGGGATTGGAAGTTATGGAATCTGATGTCACGAATCAAAATCTCAGCTTTACTTTGCCAGATACTGGCTATTTCTTCTTCTTGGCATTTTCTTCCTATTTAATTCTTTTTAGACATGTTCACTTTGTTCAAAAGTTGTAGCGCATGCTTTTGTGACCTTAGATCACTACCTATTTTATGCTTTTCACATTGACAAAACCTTCTCTTTTTTTTGGTAAAAAAAAGTGTTAAAAAAATGTTTTATAG